CCTGGACACAGCTTGCCACGGAAAAACCTTGTGGATACTGAAAAACCAAACCCTCCCACCTCCTGGACAGCTCACTAAGAATGCAGCTTCAAAATGGATGCTGTCCAGGAGGTGGGAGGGTCTGGGAGGGAGGGTCTGCTGCTGATTGGCTGGAATGTGTCTGCTGACTGTGAGGTACAGGGTCATATGTTCGCCGTCCGTGGCTGACTATCTGACTATCCCCGAGTTTGTACTGGCCTTTGGTATTTACCGGAATGTCATCTGTGCGGTCTATCCCAATAGAAGAGAGGAGTTTGATCTTTATATGCACAAGCTGGTAGACCTGGGCAACAAATATGGTGGTTCAGCCTTTTATGACTAGGATAGGTCTTTTTCTGCAAAAGTGTCTGGAGCATTTTCCCAGTATGGAACAAGATCTAACTGGGGAAGGATAGATACCGTCATATTTTGCAGACACTTTGCAGGTCTAAGAACACCGGCTTGTGCATACTGCTCCTCTACAGCCCATACGACAAATTTCTGTCCCAACACAGCTGACGAACATGCCTCCACGCAAGGAGCTAGTTCCTCTGGTCTTCCAGAGAAATTGACCAGAGACAAACTGGGACGCCCGATCAAGTTTCTGGGCAAGTCCCAGATATGTAATAATTTCAATGTTGGGTCTTGTAATTATAGCGGTTGCAGATTATTGCATATCTGTTTTAAAATGTTTTAGGGCACATGCAAAAACCATGTGTCCAAATAAAATGTATTCTAAGCCTTACCTCACGTCCATTAATATGCCGGTATTTACTGCATTTATGTCACATCACCCATCTAAACACTTGGTGGACTTTCTTATCTCTGGTTTAACAGAAGGCTTCCACACGGGTATTCTACACATACCATCCGGGACTCTGGAATGCCCTAATCTACAATCCGCACAACATAATCCCACAGCTGTTGACACTCTCATAGCCCAAGAAATTGCTGAAGGTTTCGTATTGGGGCCTTTCAAAACTCCTCCATTCAAAGAATGGTGTACTAACCCCATTGGTATTGTCACAGGGAAATCTTCCCTTAAACAGAGACTCATCATTGACCTGTCAGCACCACACTCATCGGCCAAGCCCAGTCTTAATTCCCTCATACCCTCCGAGGAATTCTCCCTGCAATACACCACCATAGATCACGCCATTATAGCGATCATACAAGCAGGGGTCGCAGCCTGGCTTAGTAAGATCGATATTATTAATGCCTTTAAATTGCTACCAATCCACCCCACACTCTGGCACCTACATGGAATTAAGTGGGCCGGGCCCAGGTATTTTTGACACATTTGCCGAAGCATTGTGCTGGTTACTATTGAACATAGCCAGATGCCCTACGGTATTACATTACCTGGACGACTTCTTAATGGTCGAGGAAAATATTTCCCCTCCTAGTAGCCTCAAAGCTACCACCAAGCTATTCGAGCAACTAGGTGTACCAATCTCCCCTAAGAAAACGGAGGGGCCAGACACGATTATCACTTTCCTGGGTCAATTAGACTCAACCACAATGCAAGCAAGCCTACCACACGACAAGATAGAGAACATTCTTACCTACATCAACAGCTCGGTACTTGCAACCGCAAAGAGCTACAGTCTCTGCTGGGGTCACTAAATTTTGCCAATGCGTATCATACCTCAAGGCCGCTCCTTCATATCACGACTCTTGTATCTTTTTCCACGCTTCCTACACGACACACACAGGTTGTCCTTAGATAACCAAGCTACGGCAGACCTACGCATGTGAAAGGAATTTTTAACCACTTGGAATGGTAAAAGTATGTTCCTCCCTCAATTGACTGACTCATCACCTTCTATTTGGTCAGATGCAGCATCTACCACAGGTTTTGCAGCAATTTATGGCAACGAATGGCTTTGGGGCAGCTGGCCTACAGCAGTTCAGGATTTGGAAGGTTTTTCCACTACCTCAGCTCTCTTTGAGATCTATCCCATCGTGGCGGCTGCCGTAGCATGGGGTCATTTATGGGCAAATATGCCAGTTCGTTGTTACTCAGACAACCAGGCAACCTGTCACATCATCAACAAAGGTCGCTCCAAATCCCTTTCTAGCATGAGATTTCTGAGGAAACTCATGTGGTTGGCAGCTTGTCATAATTTCTTTCTATATTGTTTCCATGTTCCAGGAATATGTAACAGCTGCTGACAGTTTGTCTCGTTTTAAATTTCAGGCATTTCATCAAGCACTCCCGTCAGCTGCGCTCACAGCCACTATCACTCCCAGGGCCGGCGCTTCCTATAAGGCGAACTAGGCAGCCTTTAAATTCTGCAGCTGCCTGAGTGCTCTATAGAGAGCGCTCAGGCGGCTGCCGCACTGCCTCACCTCCCCTGCCCTGCTGTAGCGTGGCCGAGCTCCTTTCCGGTCCGCGACCCAGCCGGACTGACAGGAAGTGCACACCGAGTGTGCACTTCCTGTCAGTCCCGCCGGGTCACGGACCGGATAGCAGCTCGGCCACGCTACAGCAGGGCAGGGGAGGTGAGGTGAGGAGAAGATGATGGGAGGGAGATGAGGGGGGGGAAGATTGATGGGAGGGAGGGGGGAGATGATTTATGGGGGGGATTGGATGGAGGGAGGAGATGATTGATGGGGGGAGATTGATGGGAGGGAGGTGAGATTGATTGATGGGGGGATGGGAGGGAGATGATTGATTGGGGGAGATTGATGGGAGGAGGGATATGATTAATGGGGGGAGATTGATGGAGGGGGAGATGAATTGATGGGAGGGAGGAGGGAGATGATTTGATGGGAGGAGGGGAGATGATGATGGGGAGATGATTTGATGGGGGAGGGGGGGGATGTTTTGATGGGGGGAGGGGGAAGATACTTGATGGGATGGAGGATTGATGGGAGGAGGGGGGAGATGATGGAGGGGGGGGATATGGTTTGATGGGGGAGATTGATGGAGGGAGGGGGGAGATGATTGATGGGAGGGAAGGAGGGGGGGAGATGATTGATGGGAGGGAAGTGGGGGGGAGATGATTGATGGGAGGGGGGAGAAGATTGGGGGGGAGAAGAAGAGAAGATTATGGGGGGAGAAGAAGAGAAGATTACGGGGGGAGAAGCAGCGATTACAGGGAGGGAAGGGGGGAGAAGATTACAAGGGGGAGGGGAGAAGATTACAGGGAGGGGGGAGAAGAAGAGAAGAGAAGATTACAAGGGGGGAGGGGAGAAGATTACAGGGAAGGGGGAGAAGAAGAGAAGATTACAGGGGGGAGAAGAAGAGGAGAACACAGGGGGGGAATAAGAGGAAAACACGGGGGGAGAAGAAGAGGAGAACACGAGGGGTGGGAGATGAGAACGTAGTGGAGGGAGAGACCACTAAAGGAGGGAGGGGGGTGGAGGATAGACCACTAGGGGAGGGTGGGGGGAGAGGAGAGACCACTAATGGAAAGTCGGGGAGAAAAGGAGACCACTAAGGGAGGTGGGGGGGGGAGAGGAGAGACCACTAAGGGCAGGGGAGATCTCTAAGGAATGGAAGGGAGAGCTCTATAGGACAGGGGGACAGGGAGCTCTTTCACACCACGGGCACACACACACACACACAATGCATCCCTATACACACAGAAACACAACATGCTTCCCTTACACACAGAGAAACACACAATGCAACCCTTACACATAAAGACAATGCATCCTTTGCACATATACACAGAAACACACAATGCATCCCTTACACACACATGCAAACACACACTGCTTCTCTTACACACACACAGAAACACAATGCATCTCCTACACACACTCAACGCACCCCTTACAGACACACACACTGCATCCCTTACATACACAGAAACACACTTTGCATCACTTATGCATACAAACACAGATTCACACAATGCATCCCTTACACACAACAAGAAACACACAATACATCCCTTATACACAAACACTCACTGCTTTCACTACACACAAACAACACTGCATCACCTACACAAACTGGTATCCCTATACACTACATTCCGTAAGCACACACATTAGATCCTCTACAGTAACACATAACACACCCCCTACACACTCTACTCCCTGTGAGTTCATGGGTGGAACATGTAGGTGGACTTATGGGTGGGCTTTATGGGCATACTCACCGTCAGGCCCTGGGGCCCAGACCTTGAGCTATGTAAGAGGCCCCAAAAAATGGAGCTGCTTCCAATTCTCCCAGAACATTGAATTTTGTAACCACAGTTACAAACAGCCTCCAGAGATCCTGTTCTACACCAGACCAGAGGAGCCAGACTGCAGCCCATCATCATCCTCATCTGATTGTAAGTAGGCAATCTAGTATATTATTAGTGACACTAATCTCTAATTCACCTCACATTAAGAGAGAGAAAATAAATCACATTAATAATTTCAAATAAAAGGACAAATATACAAAATAAATAAAAATCAGGTGAAATAATGATAGAAAACCAGTAAGAATTCAGAAAAAATGATTGAAAAGGAATAACATCAAATGTTGCTATTATACGAGGTGTAACATACAGGGTTTTTTATTTTATTTATTTTTTAAGTGAGAATTCAAGGTAAATATAAAATTGAAGGTCCCAGTGGTTGAACTGAAAGCATAGCTAACATTTTTTTTCCAGTTCGCTTGATTTGACATTAAATGTGAAATTCACCTTGACTATTTACTTTAGTGCTGGCATTATAAAAGATATTATGCAGTTTACCTACCTCTGATGAGGAATATTGCACATTGAATGCAGATTAAGGCAACAGGAGACATTGAGATCTCTTCAACGGCTGCAGCTACACTGTACAGTCAGAATAGAAACATTTCACCCCTCCTGAATGGGAGGAGGCTCTGAAGCTGCATTCATTGAATCATATATTCCTGACCCTATAGTGTTTAAAACAACATTTAGCCTCCCCCTCTCCCCCTAAATGGTGTGATCCAATCGCAATGCAGATCAGGGGCAGAGCCAACACAAGTCAAACACAGCCTTGGCCAATGAGCATCTTCTCATAGAGATACAGTGAATCAATGAATCGCTATGAGGAAAGCTCAGTGTCTGCATGCAGAGGGAGGAGATACTGAATGTCAGTCACACTGTGCAGCACTGCCCCAGGAAGCATCTCTAACAGCTATCTGAGGAGTGGCCAGTGGAGGTATCCCTAGGCTGTAATGTAAACACTGCATTTGTTCTGAAAAGACAGTGTTTACTGCAAAAAGCCTAAAGGGAATGATTATACTCACCAGATCAAATACAATATCTATAGTTGTTCTGCTGACTATACTGTCCCTTAACCCCTTAACGACGCTGGACGGAAATTTTCCGTCAAGGCAGACCTAGATCGTGGGGTTAACACTGTTGCTGGGTGCCTCGGCGTTTGAGGAAGCCCAGCAACAGCCAATAGTGCTGTCCCAGCACATGTGATCACTGTGACAGCCAGTCACAGCGATCACAGTGCTGCTGGGAATTCTGATCCTCCTCCCTCCACCTCTGTGTGTGATTAGAAGTGGAGAGAGATGGATCGTTTGAAACTTTGTGTCCCTGACAGACACAAAGTGTTTAAAAGTTTAAAAAAAAACCTTTTACCCCCTTTAACTTTAAAAGTTTAACCCTTTGATCACTGGCAGCAGTGATCACAATACTGATCACAGTACTTTACTGAGATCAGAGGTTTTTTTTTAACCCTCAGGGGTTAACTTTATTTTCTTTTTAACCCTCAGGGGTTAAATATATTTAATTTCTTTTTTTTTTACTTTTATTTTCAGTTAATTAGTTAGCTGGGGTGGATTGAAGCTAGGGGGAATTGGGGAATCTGGCATTAGTGTAGCTAGGAAGCTGAAAAGTTTTAGAAAGTTATTAAAAGTTTATAAAAGTTATTAAAAGTTTATAAAAGTATAAAAAAAAGTGAAAAAAGGAAAAAAGAGAAAAAAAAAGTAGTTTATTTTAAGTCAAAGCATTTCTGCTTCGCTAGGTGTAAGCACGGTGATCTGATTCCTGTTTTTACCCACAGGGGTTCATTTTTTAAAAAGTTTTTAGAAGTTTTAGAAAGTTTTTAAGAGTTTTAAATTTTTTTTAAAAAAGTATTAAAAAAATTCAGAAAACAAAAAAAAGTATAAAAAAAGTAAAAAAAACAAAACAAAAAAATACGTTATTTAGTTAAAGTTAATTTTAAGCTTTCACTGTGCTTAGAAAGTTTAGTGCCGAGGAGGCATATGATATATTAGCAGCCGACTCAGAGGCAACCGACACTGCCTCAGAGAGTGCAGAGGGTGACTATGTGCCAGACACAGATGAAGAAAGTGACGATACCCCTGGCACTGCTCCTGGCGCTGATATCTGGGTGCCCCCTAACAATTTTGTCCCCGACATCCCTCTGTTCTCTGCGACTCCTGGTATTCAGGGAGACGTGACCAGCTATAACTCCCCGGATTTTATGGAGCTGTTCCTTGGGGATGATTTTTTAGGGCAGATAGCTACACAAACAAATATGTATGCAGCGCAGTATCTGGCACAAAATGCAACAAGTCACCTTGCCACAAAAGGGAGCTGGTACCCCACCAGTGTGCCAGAGTTAAAACAGTTCTGGGCACTAACCATGCTAATTGGAATTATAAAAAAGCCCAGCATCTGAATGTACTGGTCCAAAACCCAGTATGCAATACTCCCATTTTCTCTCAGACCATGAGTAGGCCCAGATACGAAACAGTACTGCGTTTTCTGCACTTCAATGATAATTCGAAGTGCCACCCCAAAGATCATCCGCAGTATGACAAACTCTATAAAATCCGCCCCCTAATTAACCATTTTAATAAAGAATTTGGCATAATTTATACTCCCCAAAAGAATATATGTATTGACGAGTCCCTAATGAAATACAAGGGTAGACTGGGGTTTAAGCAATACATCCCAGCTAAAAGATCCCGGTATGGCATCAAGCTATACAAGTTATGTGAAAGTAGCAGTGGGTATGTTTATACCTTCAGAATATATGAAGGTAAAGATAGCCACCGGGATCCCCCAGGTTGCCCTGATGTAGTTGGGACTAGCGGAAAAATAGTTTGGGATCTAATGAACCCGCTACTGAACAAGGGGTACCACCTCTACCTTGATAATTACTACAATAGCATACCCCTCCAAAAAAATGCTATATTGTTTTGAGACTGTGGTCTGCGGCACTATCCGCAAGACACGCACTGGCTTCCCCAAGGCTCTGGCAGAGAAAAAAATTAAAAAGGGGGAAACGGCTGCTCTATGCCAGGACGAACTGCTGGCTCTAAAATACAGAGACAAAAAGGAGGTGTTCATACTGACTACCATGCACAGTGAACACACACGCAGGGTCGCAGTTCGTGGCAGACAGGAAACAAGACGGCTGCCTGTCTGCATTAAGCAATACAATAAACACATGGGGGAGTTGACCTGTCTGATCAACTGCTGCAGCCATATCTGATAATGAGAAAGACCAGGGCCTGGTATAAGAAAGTGGGCATTTATTTAATGCAAATGGCTACTCACAATGCATTCATCCTTTTCAAAAAGGCAAATCCTCAGCTGAAATGTACTTTTCTTACATTTCAGTTTCAGCTCATTTCTGTGCTGCTCACTGAGTGCCACAGTGGGGAGCCATCAGCAGGGCCTAGCAGCAGAGATATTCAGACAGGTCACTTCTGCTTTCGGATACCACCAACCCCCCAAAAAAAGACCCCCCAGAAAAGGTGCAGGCTGTGTTACCAGAGAGGCATTCGAACGGAGACCAGTTTCTACTGCCCTGATTGTCCCTCTCAGCCTGGCCTTTGTATTGGGAACTGTTTTAAATTATTTCATACTCAGAGCCAATAAATTCTCAATACAATTTTTTTTTTACCTTTTATTTAGTTAATTGGGGTGGATGATAGTTCCTGGGAAATTGGGGAGTTTAGTGCGTATGCTAGGGGTAGAAATACAAATAAAAAAAAACAACAAAAAAATAAAATAACATTGTTTTGTTAAAGTTCTTGTGTAAAAAGTTTAAAATGCTTTGGAAGTACAGTTAGAGAATTCTGACAGCGGATTCAGAGGTTACAGACAGTGCCTCAGAGTTTGACCCAAAATGGGACATGGACCCAGCATGCAAATTCAAAGTTTGAAACAAACCTGAAATGGCAGAGTCTCAAATTTGCCCCTTCAACATCCACATATACCTGAGAAAGGTACACACAGGGGTATTGCTGTACTCAGACGACATAGCTGAGTGACATATGAAGCGTTATACTGCCGTAGCACACCTAAGGATTGTAAACTATGCAGTAAAATCTCAAAGTATGTGTCAAAAAGGCAGAGAAAATGCTTACTACTACTAGACTTGGTACTCACTAGCGAAAAAATGATCCCACCCTAAGGTTCAAAATGGGCCTTTTGAAATACCCTGGGGTGTCTTCTTTAAAAAATGGTAGGCCTTTGTGGGGAAAGTTTGAATAAGCAACCTGCTATTAGAACCCAAAATGAGTCATAAACCTATAAAATACTGTAAAAACTGAAATGGTCAGGTCTCCTATATGGAAGTGTAGCATCAGGAAATACGACTAAAGGCATACATTGGGGGTATCGTTTTTCTCACAGGAGATAGCTCAGCATAATTAGGGGTGTTTGATCATATTGGAACATATCAAATATACAAAATGCCCAGCACAAATGTAACGCATAAATTAAAAATGCAAAAAATATTTTTTTACCACAACCTTTGACATATCATGGTGAAAAAATGGGGACATGTTAAGGCACAATATATGCCATGTGAGATACTCTGGAATGTCTACTTTCACAAATGGTAGGCCTTTTTGCGGTTTTTGAAACAGTCAAACTGCTATAATGGCCCAAACTGAAACATAAGCCCTGCAAATCCGTCTCTCAAAATTCTACTCTAAAAACTGAAATGGTCAGGTCTCCTTTATGGCACTGTAGTGACACCAAATAGAGTAAAAGACATACATTGGGGGTATTGTTTTACTCAGAAGACTTAGCTGAGTATAATTAGGGGTGTTTGATCATAGTGGAACATATCAAATATACAAAATGCCCAGCACAAATGTAATGCTTAAGGAAAAACTGCAAAAAATATTTTTTTACCACAAACTTTGACATATAATGGCGAAAAAATGGCGACATGTTAAGGCACAATATATGCCATATGAGATACCCTGGAGTGTCTACTTTCACAAATGGTAGGCCTTTTTGCGGTTATTGAAACAGTCAAACTGCTATAATGGCCCAAATTGAAACATAAGCCCTGCAAATTCGTCTCTGAAAATTCTACTCTAAAAACTGAAATGGTCAGGTCTCCTTTATGGCACTGTAGCGTCACCAAATAGTGTCAAAGACATACATTGGGGGTATTGTTTTACTCATAAGATTAAGCTGAGCATAATTAGGGGTGTTTGACCATAGTGGAACATATCAAATATACAAAATGCCCAGCACAAATGTAATGCTTAAGGAAAAAATGCGGAAAATATTTTTTAACACAAATTTTGACATATAATGGTGAATAAATGGTGAACCGTTAAGGCAAAATATATGCCATATGAGATACCATGGAGTGTCTACTTTCACAAATGGAAGGCCTTTGTGTGGTCATTTGAACAACCAAACTACTATAATGCCCCAAAATAAGACATAGGTCCATTAAATCCATCTTTGAATTTTCTAACTGTAGAAACTGAAGTAGTCTGGCCTCTTATATTTCATTGTAGCTTCCCAAAATAGTGGCAAAGACATACAATGGGGGTATTGTTGTACTCAGCAGATGTTGCTGAACACAAAATGGGATTTTGACCAGGAATAGCACACAGCAGCTTTACAAAATACACATTTAAAAAACCTTGTTACATGTGTGTATTTCAAAAAACAGAAAAAACACAATTTTACTACATTATGTAGCAGAGATTGGTGGGAAAAAGGCTATGTAAAAAGTGTCAAAATACCCTTAAATAAATAGCCTGTGATGTCTTCTTTATTTAAATATATACTTTTGTGTAGCAATTTTGTTTTCTGTGACAGCTGTCAAACTTACAAGTCAAACATACCAACTTCTAAATTTTTTTTCACATTTAAATTTTATATTACTCCTTGTATTTTGTGACCTGTAACTTTTAAAATAAGCTGAAATCCTTTACATATTATGCACTTTGAAAAACAAGAAACCTAAATGAATTTATTTTGAATTACTTTTCCTAAGCTGGACATATTATACACACACTATTATTGCCAAAACTGTGAAAAATATATATATTGTTTCTTTTTTTTTCCTTTTTTTAATGTTTTTTAATAATAAATTAGATTTTATATATGTATAAGTCACATCAAAGTAAAGCCCATCTTGTCCTTTAAAAAACGATATATAATATGTGTTGATTCAATAAATGAGAGCGATGCAAATTGCAGTTGAACACAAACAGCAAAAAATGCAAAAATAGCTTGAGTCCTTAAAGGACCACTCTAGGCACCCAGACCACTTCAGCTTAATGAAGTGGTCTGGGTGCCAGGTCCTTCTAGGGTTAACCCATTTTGTCATAATTATAGCAGTTTCAGAGAAACTGCTATAATTATGAATGGGTTAAGCCTTCCCCCTAATCCTCTAGTGGCTGTCTCATTGACAGCCACTAGAGGCGCTTGCGTGCTTCTCACTGTGAAAATCGCAGTGAGAGCACGCCAGCGTCCATAGGAAAGCATTGTAAATGCTTTCCTATGAGACCGGCTGAATGCGCGCGCAGCTCTTGCCGCGCGTGCGCATTCAGCCGGCGGGGCGTAACGGAGGCGGAGAGGAGGAGGAGAGCTCTCCGCCCAGCGCTGGAAAAAGGTAAGTTTTTACCCCTTTCCCCTTCCAGAGCCGGGCGGGAGGGGGACCCTGAGGGTGGGGGCACCCTCAGGGCACTATAGTGCCAGGAAAACGAGTATGTTTTCCTGGCACTATAGTGGTCCTTTAAGGGTATGTCCAGCTTCTGAAGCTGCGTCCTTAAGGGGTTAAAATGTATAATATAAAATTGCTGTGTATTTAGTATGCTCACGTTTACTTGGAGCCCATAAAAGACTCCAAGTTTCTATACCATTCGTCAAAATATGGGAACGCCCTTTTCACTTACAGCTAAAAATGGAGAATACCAGGTCAGGATATAAAGGTAAGTATATATACTTTATCAGATAACAAAATAAAATAAATATCAAAATAAATATAGAAAATATATTTTTATATATGTATACGAGTACTGACTTGCCTTTTGCTATCTATAAGGTAAAGAAAGAATTGTTGATTTATATTAATTTGTTTATCATTGAATGTTAGTGTTTGGGAGGTGGGCCTAGATCCCCTAAACACTGATGTCCCTTTTTTGAATTCCCTGGTTTAAATGAATGGATACAAAGTATGGACATTTATCCAAAATATTCCTGAATTGGAGTCATGTTAGGGACCGACCTGTGGATATTGTTTCACGTGGACTGATCTTCTCTTGGTTTCATTTTCAGAACAGAGTCACGTATTCAGAACTGGTATTTAATCATCGTAATAATGGCGAGTGTGTCTGGAGTCCTCCGAGTGAAACGTGGATTAAATAAAAACATCACATTTAATATTCTTTACATAAAGCGAGAAATACAGGAACCACAACTCTTATATGGTATATTTTACAGAAACAAATATGTAGAAAAAAGTATATAACATGTATGCAGTCTTTTTGTATTACATTTATTAATACGTTGATATAACATGAATTTTGGTTGGTTGTTTTTTCCTATGTTTTATTTCCTGTATTCTTTCTTTATTTCCCATTAAGCTCATTCCATTTGCTCTGCCTATAGCTAAACATTTCCTTTATAGTTTAAAATAAAACGATGTCCCCTTCATTTTTCTTCACCATTCTATTTCGACATATTGCCACTCACACAAACCTGTGCTTGTCACTTTACTGATAGAGCCGCAGTTACAATATCTTATAACCTCCCTAAATCATTGCTTACCAACAACTCAAAATAACATTTCCACATTTTCTGTAATACACCAAACTAATCAGACTCTCTGCCACGTTTTATTCCCCCCAATTATTTGCTTGTTATGAGTGGAATAAAAAATAAATAAATTATAGAGCAATATTATTTGGAAGAAAATAAAGGTGCATTTGCAATTAAATATTTAAATACCTTGTCCAAGTAAAGGAAGAATGCAAGAGCTGCATTGCTGTCACAGAAAACCTTTCAATTTGAAAGTGTTGGAAAAACGTGTTGGAAAAAAAGTCAGATTTTGACCCTTCTCGTATATAAGCTCATGTGCACCACCCTCGCCAGTCTGCGTTTATTGTTAGTAATTTTGTATAAAGTTTAGGTCTTAACGCTCGTTGTAGCTGTAACTGTTTATACGTTACATTACTCTATACTCAAACTGTGTAATGACGCACGTTATGTTGGCGTTAATGGATAATCAATGTATTTGTGTACAAATATAATCCATGGGATACCTGCATTCACTACCAAGTCATTATAGTAAAAGAGAATATTTACTTCCCTGTTAATTACATCAGTGAATAAACTTTTCAAAATCACCTATAACATGTGTTAACCTATTCTTCCACGAGATGTTTCATTTATTTTTAAACCCAGTTAAATCCAGAACAGCCAATACAGGGAGCCATGATTGAGGCACTCAGTTAGACACAGCAGCAGCAGTGTTATTTTCTACATTTAAAGAGACACAGCAAAAAATGTTGCTTAGAGTGTCCCTGCTTAGATATTGTGTTTAAAGGGACACCATGGTCACCAGAACAACTACAGCTTATTGTATTTGTTCTGGTGAGTAGAATCATTCCCTTCAGACTTTTTGCAGTAAACACAGTTTGTTTCAGAGAAAATGCAGTCTTTACATTACAGCCTAGGGATACCTTCACCGCCCACTCAGATGGCTGCTAGAGGTGCTTCCATTCAGTGTCTCCACCAACTGCATGCAGGCACTGAACTTTCCTCATAGAGATGCACTGATTCAATCTATTGGCCAGGGCTGTGTTTGACTTGTGAAATGGATTTTCAAAGTAAAGATGAGAGGATTGTAATTAAACCCACAAGATCCCAACATTACTAACATTTCAAGACAATGTCACGATAGGTACACATATTTAATATTAAATAAAACCCCACTAATGAGATGAAATAATGTTAATTCTTTTTTGGGGGAATGAAGACCATCCAAAAGGTATACAGAATAAAAAAAAAAAAATAGAATATAAATTTTTAAAGTTGAACCCAGAAATCCCTGTTATATATATTCTACCTAAGTTATAAGGACTCTACGAACACCCCAGGTTGGCTCATCATCTCTGATAAATGTATTTTGATCTTCCCTTTCCTTAAATATCAACATTGATTTGCAACTAGAGTTGAGCAGACACCTGGATGTTCGGGTCTGGCGGGTTCGGCCGAACTTCGGAAAAAAGTCCGGGTTCAGGATCGAACTTTTGGGCACAAAAATGGCTCTAAAAAAGTCCTGGAAAGGGCTAGAGGGCTGCAAAAGGAAGTAAAATGGGGGTAAGAGTAGGAGAAGTGGCCTGCAAACAAATGTGGATAGGGAAATCATTTAAAATAACATAAAAATTAAAAATAATCCGATCCTATACATTGCCGCGGCTGCATCTTGCAGCCGCTTATTAGATAACTCCCTAATTCCCACTATATTAGGGAGCTATCTACCAAAAGGCTGAAAGACCTAAATTGGTCTTTCAGCCAAATTTACTAGTTCTAAGTAAAGATTACTTAGTATTAGTAAATTCAGCCTCTACTCGCTATACCGCGAGTAAGGGCATGTTTAGTAAGCAGTGAGCAGCCTGTGGCCCCCCACCCCTGTGCGACGGGTGGGGGCCCTAAATAAGAATGTGGAGGCGGGACCTACTGTCCTCTCCCCTGGCCCCCACCCCTGAGTTGTGGGTGGGAGCCCTTAATAACAATAAGGGGGGGACCTACTGTCCTCCCCCCCGGCCCCCACCCCTAAGCGGTGGGTGGAGGCCATAAATAAGAATGTGGGGGGGGTACATACTGTCCTCCCCCCGGCCCCTACCCCTGAGCGGTGGGTGGGGGCCATAAATAAAAATTGGGGGGGGGACGACCTACTAAGCTCCCCCGGCCCCCACCTCTGAGAAGTGTGTGGGGGCCATAAATAAGAATGCTAGGGTGGGACACTACCGTCCTCCCCCCAGCCCCCACCCCTGCACGGCGGGTGGGGGCCCTAAATAACAATAAGGGGGGGCACCTACTGTCCTCCCCCTGGCCCCCACCCCTGAGCAGTGGGTGGGGGCCATAAATAAGAATGTGGGGGGGGACCTACTGTCTTCCCCCCCGGCCCCTCCCCTGAGCGGTGGGTGGGGGCCATAAATAAAAATTGGAGGTGGGACCTAATATCCTCCCCCCGGCTCCCACCCCTGTGTGGTGGGTGGGGGCTATAAATAAAAAATTTTGGGGACCTATTGTCCTCTCCCCTGGCCTCCACCCCTGAGCAGCGGGTGGGGGCCCTAAATAAAAAGTTAACCCCCTCCAGGTGACTAGGGGTCCCCAAACCCCTAGTCACCCCCCTCCAACCCACAAAAAAAAAGCCCTACCTACCCCCATCCTAAAAATAATGAGGGGGGAACCTTATCTAAATACCTGAAAAATTTATCATTTGATGTCTACTTTCTTCTAAACTCTTCTTTTTTCAGTCCCAAAAAAGGCCAATTAAAAATCCATAATAACCGACGCACTTAAAAAAAAAAAAAAAGAGTGCAAAAAAAAATAAAATACATCTTCACCCATGGAAGGCTCCGCGCAGACTGAGCTCTGAAGGGCGGGGGAAGGCTTATAAAGCCTTGCCCCGCCCTGAAATTAGGCTCAGAGCACTCTGATTGGTGGATTTAAGCCATCGAATCAGAGTGCTCTGACAGGTAAATGAAGAGACTGACAGGTCTCTACATTTACCTGTCACAGCACTCTGATTGGTTGACTTAAAATTCACCAATTAGAATGCTCTGTGTCGTTTTACACAGCGTGGGAAAGTTCTTTGGAATTTTCCCACACTGTGTAATTTGACTCATACCACTCTGATTGGTTACTTAAGCCACCAGAGTGTTATGAGTCAAATTACACAGCGTGGGAAAATTCCAAAGAACTTTCCCATGCTGTGTAAAATGACACAGAGCACTCTGATTGGTGGATTTCAAGCCAACCAATCAGAGTGCTCTGACAGGTTGGTCTCTACATTTATAGCAAGTAGGGGCATAATTTAATAATACTAATAAACCAGCTTATATAGAGGCTGGATCACATGCTGCACTGGCCATTAGTAGGCCTGGCTGTGATGGCTTCTAAGGACACACGAGTCAAATGCTTGTTGATTGGCTGCCCCGCAGCCTTTCAAAATGCGCCATTAAATCGCCGAACTCCAACCCGAACATACAGTGAAATGTTCGTGTTCGCGTCCGGGGTCCAAAAAACGTAATGTTTGGTACAAACCAGAACTTTACAGTCCGGGTTTGCTCAACTCTATTTACAACCATTGGTTAAGATCTACGCCTCATATTATTTGGTGATGCCCCTGTCTTATACACAATAATTAATGATAAGAATGAATGTGAAGCAGCTGGACATTTTTAAGAGAATCTCATGGATACACTCAAGACTAAATTTTGTATTTATTGGATAGAATACAAATGGTTTTAATAACTATTATTTTTAGTGTAAGATAGACTTTTCCCTTCAATGTAAGTGTATCGCTATGGGGATCAGTTTTGGAAGGGAAAGAGGAATGACCTTAATAAATAAATAAAATTCAAATATGTGGGGCATCAAACATACTTATAATATTAGCAACCAGCAAGTTTCTTAACTCTTGAGAGTTAATACTTAAATACATGCACTCATTTTAATAAAGTTGATGTCAACACCATTATTGACATTGACTGAAGTCATCACCTCTTGTGGCCTAAAGGCTTCCCAAAAGGACAGTTCCTATGGATCAGAAGGAACTGAACAGAAAAGGAAAAAGAAGATGTTAGAGTGGTAACTATATTAGACATGCACATTCGTTTTCGTACGAACACAATTTAGTCAGAGACAACCATTAAAAACAAATTTATGGCAAACCTACTAAACAGTGTGCCCTCTGGAACACCAGAAAAAAGTGAAACATACAAATAGGTATGTGCACACACAGGTTGTGGAAAGGTGGCGCTATAGAATTATAATGTTAAAGTGAATTTAGCTGCTATACACTCTATGGGTACTCCTAAAAACCCAACATACATAGAAATCACCAAAAAACAACAGAGGAAATTTTCAGATTTATCAGGTATCTATCCCTTTAAACCCTCAATTTCCATGAGTGAAGCGCTTCAGTGTAAATTTAGAAGTGTAAAGTTATTTTAAATACTACACTTAGTTTGGACGTTTTTTCTCTGTTTTATTTTATTTTAACACACTCTGGAGAAAAACAGACTTTCCATCATTGAGAGAGAGGGGTTGTGTGGTCTACCCGAAAGACACAGACGTTTGGAAGTTTAGAGCCTTACCACTGTAAAAGGCTCTAAAAAATGTGAGTTAATTTACATTCTAACTCACATATATAATTAAATAATTGATTTTCTAGACATATTGCACTATTATTTGTATATATTTGTTTTTCTCTTCCCTACATATATACACGGGAATACGAGCATTGTATAGATGGTAAGTGCTTTTTGGCACTACATATATATATTCACAACTTCTAAATTTACACTGAAGCGCTTCACTCATGGAAATTGAGGGTTTAAAGGGATAGATACCTGATAAATCTGAAAATTTCCTCTGTTGTTTTTTGGTGATACAAATAGGTAGGAATGCACAGGAATGGATGGTGACTTCCCAAGGTGTAAATAACAAAAGAATAATACAACCTTATAGTATGGGAACGCAGTTTGCAGTGTCTATAAAAAATACAAACTGAACATAGTGTGATCAATGTATATTATAGAGAAGACACGCAATGATAATGAGGAAAACTCACAAGAGGTAAATGAATGTCAGGCACATCACCCTTAATCAGGTGAAGTCTTCAGTATAGTAGGTAAAAATTAATCTTACACTTTGGGCTAGAAAGAGACCAAAAGATAGTGCAGATAGAAATAAAAATATGAAAAATTATTAAAAAATTATATATAATTTTAAAAATGTATTACAATTGCACTTATAAGATAACAGGTTAAAAAGGCATATCTCCACTTCAAAGTGGAACAGGTATAATGCAGCAATGTAAGTTCCCAGCATCTGTATCCTACGCGTTTCACCCTATGGACTCCCTCAGGGATGTTCTTCCTCTGTTGACAGTCTCCATTTAAATATCCTGCTTAAAATGAAGAGACGGATTCCACCTGAAGTATATTTGCGTTGTGTGCGTGTCACGCTGGGACGCATATGTCAATCAAGCGTCACTTCTGGTTCCTGTCTGGCGGCTGCTTTTAATGCATTCTAAGCTGGAACGCAACTGTGTGCGCTCTGTATAGAACATAGAGAACA